AAACCAGGAGTTCTCTCGTAATTCTTGTAAAGATCTGTGAGGTTCTCTCACAGCTCTCCAAAAGCTCTTGGAACTTCAGGAATTAGTTCTATCATAGCTTACCTCAAGTTCATTCAGAATTTACCTTAAGCTCCCTCGGAACTTCTGTGAAGTTCCCTCGAAATTTCTTCACGGAAGTTCCTAAGCTTTAGGTTTCATGCTACAGGTTCTCCACATGAAAAGATTAAGATTACGATACCTTTAAGAACCAAGGTAATTCTTCCTGAAATTTGGAAATCTTAATAAATTTTCCTTAGTACTCTTGAGTTGTCCAGAAAATCTCATAGGTGATGCCAGAGCAGGGTAGAGAAGGGTGAATGTTTGCAAGGCGCTCTCCCTTCTCTTATCTATCGGAGCTTCCGGAATACTTACGGAACTTCCAACAAGCTTACGGAATTTCCAAGAAGTTTATGGAACTTTTGAATAGTTCACGGAGCTATAGATAAGTCAACAGAACCTTTGAAATTTTCATGGAACTTTCGGAATACTTGTGGAACTCCAAGAAGTTTACGGAACTTCCATGAAGTTTATGGAATTTCAAAGAAGTTTACGGAATTTCCAAAAAGTTCACGGAACTTACATGAAGTTAATGGATCTTCCGAGTAGTTCACGGAGCTACAACAGAAAATCTGAAAAATTCACGGAACTTCTGGAATACTTACCGAAATTCCAAGAAGTTCATGGAATTTCTAAGAAGTTTATGAAATTTTCGTGTATTTCACGGAGCTACAGAAAAGTCAACAGAACATCTGAAAATTTTACGGAACTTCCGGAATTCTTACGAATAGTTCACGGAATATTCAAGAAATTTACGGAATTTCCAAGAAGTTTACGGAATTTTCAAGAAGTTTATGAAACTTTTGAATATTTCATGGAGCTACAGATAAGTCAACAGAACATCTGAAAATTTCACGGAATTTCCGGAATACTTACGGAAATTCCAAAAAGTTCACGGAACTTCCTAGAAATTTACGGAATTTCTAAGAAGTTTACAGAATTTTCAAGAATTTTATGGAATTTTTGAATTTTTCATGGAGCTACAGATAAGTCAACAGACTATCTGAAAATTTCAGGGAATTTCCGATATACTTACGGAAGTTCCAAGAATTTCAAGGAGGTTCTAAGAAGTTTACGGAATTTTCAAGAAGCTTACGGAATTTACAAGAAATTTACGAAATTTCCAAGAAGCTTATGGATCTTTTGAGTAGTTCACGGAGCTACAGATAAGTCAACAGAACATCTGAAAATTTCACGGAACTTCCGGAATACTTACGGAAATTCCAAGAAGTTCACGGAATTTCCAAGAAGTTTATGGAACTTTTGAGTAGTTCTTGGAGCTACAGATAAGTCAACTGAACATCTGAAATTTTCACGGAATTTTCGGAATACTTACAGAAATTCCAAGAAGTTCATGGAATTTCCAAGAAGTTTATGCAACTTTTAAGTAGTTCATGGAGCTACAGATAAGTCAACAGAATATCTGAAAATTTCACGGAGTTTACGGAATGGTTAAGGAATTTCCAAGAAGCTTACAGATTTTCCTAGAAGTTTACGGAATTTCCAAGAAGTTTATGGAATTGTTGAGTAGTTCATAGAGCTGCAGATAAGTCAACAGAACATCTGAAAATGTCACGGAACTACCAGAATCCTTATAGAAATTCCAGGAAGTTCATGGAGCTACCAAGAAGTTCAGGAAATTTTCAAGAAGTTTACGGAATTTCCTAGAAGTTTATGGAACTTTTTAATATTTCATTGAGCTACAGATAAGTCAACACAACATCTGAAAATTTCACAGAACCTCTGGAATTCGTACGGAAATTCACGGAACATTCAAGATGTTTACGGAATTTTCAAGAAGTTTACGGAATTTTCAAGAAGTTTGTGGAGCTTTTGAATATTTCATGGAGCTACAGAAAAGTCAACAGAACATCTGAACAGAACATCACGGAACCTCCGGAATACTTAAAGAAATTCCAAGAAGTTAATGCAGCTTCCAAGAAGTTTATGAAATTTCCAAGAAGTTTACGAAATTTTCATGAAGTTTATGGAACTTTTGAGTAGTTCACGGAGCTACAGATAAGTCAACAGAACATCTGAAAATTTCACGGAATTTCCGGAATTCTCAAGGAAATTCCAAGAAGTTCATGGAACTTCCTAGAAGTTAACGGAATTTCCTAAAAGTTTATGGAATTTCAAGAAGTTTATGGAATTTTTAGCACTTCACGGAGCTACAGATAGGTCAACAGAAAATATGAAAATTTCACGGAACTTCCGGAATATTTACGGAAATTCTAAGAAGTTTACGGAATTTTCAAGAAGTTTATGTAACTTTTGAGTAGTTCACGGAGCTACAGATAAGTCAACATAACATCTGAAAATTTCACGGAATTTGCGGAATTCTCAAGGAAATTCCAAGAAGTTCATGGAACTTCCTAGAAGTTTATGGAAGTTCCTAAAAGTTTATGGAACTTCAAGAAGTTTATGGAATTTTTTAGCAGTTCACGGAGCGAAAATTTCACGGAACTTCCGGAATATTTACGGAAATTCTAAGAAGTTCATGGAATTTCTAAGAAGTTAATGAAATTTTCAAGAAGTTTACGGAACTTCCAAGAAGTTTCCAGAGTTTCCAAGAAGTTTAAAGAGCTTTTGAGTAGTTCACGGAGCTACAGATAAGTCAACAGAACATCTAAAAAATTTCACGGAATTTCCGGAATTCTAAAGGAAATTCCAAGAAGTTCACGGAACTTCCCAGAAGTTACCGGCATTTCAAGAAGTTTATGGAAAGTTGAGCAGTTTACAGAGCTACAGATAAGTCAACAGAATGTCTGAAAATTTCACGGAACTTCCGGAATATTTACGGAAATTCTAAGAAATTCATGGAATTTCTATGAAGTTTATAAAATTTTCAAGAAGTTTACGGAACTTCCAAGAAGTTTCCGGAGTTTCCAAGAAGTTTCTGGAACTTTTGAGTAGTTCCCGGAACTAGAGATAAGTCAACAGAACGTCTAAAAATTTCACAGAATTTCCGGAATTTTGAAGGAAATTCCAAGAAGTTCACGGCACTTCCTAGAAGTTTACGGCATTTCAAGAAGTTTAGCAGTTGAGCAGTTCACGGAGCTACAGATAAGTCAACAGAATGTCTGAAAATTTCACGGAACTTCCGGAATACTAACGGACATTCCAAGAATTCGCGGATCTTCGGAAACATTACTGGTATTCAGAGATGTTCATGGAACTTCAGAGAGGTTCACGGGAATGCTAAGTGAATTAAATGGAAAACAAAAAGGTTTTTTGCTCTTATTAATAATCCGCTTTGAAGAACATTGTTGTAAATTTTCCATCATTGTTCATGATTTCCCGGCGAGATGGCCTCGATCGCGCGTGATTTTTGTTCGGTGATTTAAGCTTTTGCTCATTTTGAAACATAGTGCGGAATTCCGGAAAGCAAGTTCCGAAAAATTAATTTCTATATTTAATGAAAAGTAAAAATGGTTTCCTTTTGATTCGTTGTGTTTGAGTCCATTAGTCCATAAAAAAAATCAAATCGAAATATATGAAGGGTTAATAAATTATAAAAACCTAACCGAGATAATGAACATTGTGTAAAAGTAGAATTCAGTAAAGCCATAAGTGCTTTAGCGCAGCTCTCCGAGTTTGAAATATCGTCGTTCGCCGGTGCTTGTTCTGGTGTGTTGGGTTTGTTGAACGGTTATAACATTAACTCCTTCATAAGTGGTGTTCTGTGGGGCTCGGTTTTACTTACTGAGCAGAATATCTTGGGATTAAACCCAGGCCCCACCATATTAAAGAGTTTCATAATCACAATGTTTAGTTTGAATGGCTACAACAGCTCGATCATAGTGGTGTGATGTGATATGAGGGGCTCGGTGGCTTTAGAGCGACCGTTTATGCTTACCAACCGAGCAGAACATCGTGAGTTTAAGCTCATGCCCTTCGGCATTCAAGATTCGTTAGACGGGTTTTTAAGCTTATCACTGTAATTAAGCGTAACGATTGCCAAAATGAACCTTGCTGTATACCCAACCCTTTTATGCAACATCCTAGTGATTTCTCGAGGAAGTGCAAGCTTCCAACAAAGCGAGTATGAGGTCCACTCATTTATACCCAATCCTTTCTTGACCTGCATTCGGACGCGGTCGGCGCTGGTATTGCCTAATTCTAGATCACCAGTTTTTACACATTGAGAATTGCTAGTTGGTTATCCGTGTAGTTACAGCTGATCTGACAATAAGCAAGTAGCATTCGCGGGTGGGTAATTATTCTCAGCCATGTACTTTAAACTGATACAAAATTTGAAATTATCGCTCCACTATGCTCAAACGGTTCCAAATAGGGTCCTGATAAGCCTTCGAATATTTGAACTCATTTAGTAAGAAACTGACTTTTCACAAACCATTTGAAGTTTATATGGGCATTACTATAGGACAACCAAATTTTTCGTTCATATCTATACAACAATTCACCATATTGCTCTGCTTTAAAAATGATAGCTATGCTTCTAGGAATTTTTAAACGTTGAAGCAAATTTATGGTGAACATAGACCAAAACAGAAAAAGTTCAGAAACTTAGTAATCTTTTAGATTTGATCAAATGCGTGGATCAACTTTTTTTCATCAAATATGGTCTTCTATCACTCCTTAAAATATTTTCTCTTAGGAACCGAACACCCTGTATAAACACAAGTTGTTGAAATTCTACGCATAACTGTCCCACAAAGAGTTTATTTATTTTATCTATCATTAACATTTCGAACGATTGAAACAGGATTGATATGATCAATGGAAACGGCATGAGCAATTTTATTTTATGTTGAAAAATATTAAGAGAATCCGGTTGGAAGACGAAATCTTTAAACCCACAAAGTTTCATTGAAATCTGAGTAGTCAACCAGGAAATCCAGACTAACACCAGTTCATTAGCAAATAAATTCAGCGCCACATGCATCTCACTTTTCCCCTCCATAACCCCTGTAGCCCCTTTAATATTGTTCCCAACCACCGGCCTTCTTAAACGCCATCGGTGGCACATGCGGGTGTGCTCCCCAGGTTCACCGTCCCATTGATTGCCAGTTCATCATCGCGACAGTAGCCCATAATGATACCCGTCCGACAGTCGCCAATTAGGTTCGGTATCAGAAGAGCCGCTCCGGAAATGGTTACAAATGTCCCGAACAGCACCAACCCAGCGGCCGGTAGCTTCTCCTGGCTCCACAGCGAGTGCGGACTCAGCTGGATGTACGCCAGTCCGGGTAGCACGTAAGCCAGTGGTATCGCTGCCAGCAGACCCTGCACCGATGGAGAAAGTTAGTAGCACACGGTGAGCAATTAATTATCAAAATACTAACGTTCAGTTCCAACACCGGACCCAGGCATTCCGTGTACGGGGAGATGATGAATGCTGCCAGCACGATGACCAACGTGGTGGCTACGGCTTTGTCGTCCTCCTCGCCACCCGTTGCGTGCGCTGGATCTTTGTCGGTGTCATATTCCAACACCTCCTGGGAGTAGAACCGTTTGATTTGCGTCCGGACGATTTCACGCGACACGAAACACTCGATGGGGAAGGTCAGCAGAATTGTGATGGAAAACAGAACCCGGGCAAAGTTCATCAGATCGTCGTCCCAGCAGTAGTTTTCCAACAGGTCGCCTGCAAGACAGAGCACAAGACTGTGAGGACGAATGGTTTTGTTTTGATGGAACCGAACGGAATTTACCTTGTGAAAGCGCCCGAAATGTGCAATAGCCAGCGATTCCGAAGCAGACCGCCACCAGCCAGGCACAGAACACCGACAGATGGGTAACTTTTTCCCACCGCTCCAGGGTGGCATTTCGCATCGATTGGTACACCAGGAACGTATTGTGATGACACATGAAAGCTGCGGGGGAGGCAATGAATGGAAAATTATAGCGAGGTTGTAAAAGTTTGCTTATTCTGTTACTCTAATAAAGTGCGGTGAAGGTGGTGATGTAAATTCTTACCAAACGCCATAATGCCAACGGCTGGGATCAGATCGGTGTGGGCGAATCGCCACGACTCCGGTGTGTCTGGGCTGCGGTCGGGAGAGGATAGAACAGAAAAGTTTATGAGTTAAGTTGTTTGCCACCCGCAGTAACAAGTGTTTCGGTCGGTTTGGGTACAATTGTCTGCGTTTCGGGCGGAACGGCTAGGGTGTCAGTTTTTACTGGAATCATTAACAACTTGTCTGGTGGTAAAGGTTTTTACTTTAGTTTTAAAGTGATACAATAATCATGAGCTTGCTTTTAATGAAGCGGGAATGTTCCCTTTAGCTTAAATATTTTAGTAGTTAAATTATATCAAAGCAGAACTAATATGATCTGAAAACTAATTTTTTTTTAATTCATGAAGATCTTAACGGATAAAGAGTTTCACCAATTGTTTGTGCAAGGAGTTAAGTTTTCATTGCCACTACAGTCTTAGCACGTTCTTTGTGAAACAATCTTCCGTTCGTAACATCCACTCATATGTAGACCTCGTCGAATCCGCCATCAAGAAGCTGAAATTTTCTAATGCTGCTGGCCCTGACGGGATCCCCTCAAGCATCCTGAGGCGATGCTGTTCAGGGCTTACAACACCGCTTTCGAAGCTGTTCAATATTTCATTACAGCAGGGGGAGTTCCCTATGCGTTGGAAATCGTCATTCATGTTCCCGATCTACAAGAAAGGAGACAAGAGATACGTCGAAAATCACTCAGTGCCTGCTCTAAAGTTTTCGAAATCATCATCAACGACGCATTATTCTCTAGCTGCAGAAATTACATTTCTCCTGACCAACACGGTTTTTATCCCAAGAGATCAGTTTCAACAAATCTAGCTCCGTTCATTTCTTTATGTCTTCGGAGTATGGAAGCTGGAGCGCAGGTGGACATTGTATATACAGATCTTAAGGCTGCATTCGACCGGGTTGACCACTCCATATTGCTAGCTAAACTTGAAAAACTCGGTGTATCCTCGGGTTTAACTCGTTGGTTCAAGTCCTATCTGACCAATCGGGAACTTTGTGTTAGAATCGGATCAGAGCAATCGGACTATTTTACAAACAGCTCCGGTGTTCCCCAAGGTAGCAACTTGGGACCATTGCTATTCTCGATTTTTGTGAATGAGACCGGACTGATCCTCCCAACTGGTTGCCGATCGTTCTACGCGGATGATATGAAGATCTATGTGATTGTTCGTAGCTTCGCCGATTGCTTGCGGCTTCAGCACCTAATCGATACTTTCGAAGAGTGGTGCTCAAGAAACTATCTCACGTTGAATGTACAAAAATGTAATATTATCTCATTTCATCGCAAGCTGAAACCAGTGGCATTCAACTGGTTTCGTGACCTAGGAATCACGCTGGACTGCGCCTTAACATTCAAGCTTCATTGCTCGTTGATCGTTGCGAAAGCTAACAGGCAACTCGGGTTCATTTTCAAAATCGCTGACGAGTTTCGCGATCCTGCCTGTCTAAAAGCTCTATACTGCGGTTCTACTGGATCAATGATCGACCACTGCAAATTTCCGGAAAAATCAACTGACAACGAAACACGACGATTGACTAACGGAGCAAGCCATGATGGACTAAGGACCCCGCGACGCATGTTAGATAGCACTTTGGAGGCCTCTTCTCAGCCCGACACAGTCCCGTCGCTTGCTGCCAGCGATCATCTTAGTCGTCGCGGTCCTGTTGTCGAGTCTGCAGTTGAGGTCCTCCAGCCTGCTCTTCCAGGCAAGTACGTTCAATATCATATGCTTTCACTACCTGTTCGACATTCCAGCGTGTGTCTCGTCGAGCACACTACAGTGGGGGAAATTCGTTTAAACGCAATGTCATTTTTGCGTTTATTTTCAACACAAAAGATCGAGACAAAAAATCAAATATAGTTTGTCATAGCCCATCAGAAGTCTCGTATTTGAGAACACAATTTGATTGGAAGTTCATAATGACTTTTGAAAAAATCCCAAAAAAGGTGATTTTGGGGGGGAAATTCGTTTAAACGCACTTTTAGTTTTATTAATCAAATCGAGTTCACAGTTCAAAAATCAACAATAAACAATAGTTAATACTTCGTTTGCTTTCCGTTTTTCTGAATAGTTTCGAAAATTCTGTTCGGCATTGATTTCACCAGCTTCTGCAGAGTTGTATCAGGTATCAAGCTCCAGGCTTCTCTTACGGCTGACTCAAGTTCACGAACTGTTTTAAACTGCCTTCCGCCTTTGTAAACCTGTCGTGCCAGGATGCCCCACAAGTTCTCGATAGGATTTAGATCCGGACTACGAGCTGGCCAATCCAAAAGACTGATGTCTCGTTCAGAAAACCATTTCAAAGATTGCTTGCTGACATGAATTGCTGCATTATCCTGTTGAAATACGAAATTTTCCGGCATAACGTCTTCAGTAAACGGGATCAAAACATCTTCCAGAAGCTCCAAGTACTTTCCCGAATTCATCCTGGTTGAAATGGTGGCAATAGGGGTCTTTCCATGGATCGAAAAAGCGGCCCAACACATTAGAGTACCACCTCCAAAGTTCCTGCTCAACTTAACCTGCGGAGATTTCCTCAAATCGTGCCAATAATATGCGGTGCAGTCTGGGCCGTCCAAATTGAATTTCTTCTCGTCAGAAAAAATAACATTGTCCCATTCCGTAGTCCAAGACATGTATTTTTTAGCGAAATTCAATCTGGCGCTAATGTGGGCCGGTTGAAGATTGGGTTTTTTGCTTTTTTGGTGTACTTTAAGTGGCCACTTCCATGTAGAATCTGCCGTACACGTCTTAGAAATGGAAAGCCCCATTTCTTGCTTGATTTGCGCAGCAGAGAAGTTTCCAGAGTCTCCCATTTGTATGATTTGGTTTCGGACACGGTTGGTGATCTTCGAATTTCCCTTTGTTTTCTTTTTTACGCCATACGTCTTGCCTTTTTTCAGCAGGTTCCTGATTGCTGCTTCCGATCTGTGGATCACACGTGCAATTTTGCGATTGCTCTCACCGCGACTTTTGAGTTCTCGAACCAGTATTTGCTCCGACTGGCTTAAATACTTTCCTTTACCCATTTTGCCGAAAACAAGCAACAACTACCGCGCAACGCAAATTTAAACTCGTGTTAATGGCGAACGAGGGCTATACAGTGTAAATATGACAGATGCGCAAGATAACAGGAGCATAGGTACGCTCAATGCGGCTTTACGTTAGTGTGCGTTTAAACGAATTTCCCCTCTAAAATCACCTTTATTGGATTTTTTTCAGAGACCACAATGAACTTCCGTTCAAATTGTGTTCTCAAATACGAGACTTCTGATGGGCTATGACAAACTATATTTGATTTTTTGTCTCGATCTTTTGTGTTGAAAATAAACGCAAAAATGACATTGCGTTTAAACGAATTTCCCCCACTGTATTGGCAACAATACACCGACACTTAGTCCTCCACCCCTTTTCTACGCTTCGTCTTCACACCATTCTCCAACGCAACCAAGATCATCGCCATCGAACCTGGGACGCCTGACACAAAGCAGTACGGAAGCCCCTGACTCGCCTAGCTCAGTCGCGCCTCCAGCCATCATCGAAAACCTGTCGCAGTTCTCTCGTTCCTGCCATCCAAGTCGTCCCGGCCCTGAGTCTAGTGCTGGCGATGGGGTCTTCCAAGCTGCCTATCATGGCAAGTATCCTATTAGTAATGCTGCACCTGCTTCTTCGAATGTCCTGATGTACTACCAAAATTTTGGTGGGATCAACAGCTCTCTCGCCGAGTACCAATTGGCCTTCAGCGACGGTTCCTATGATGTTTACGCACTTTCCGAAACCTGGCTCAATGGACATACCTCAACGAATCAGTTGTTTGGCGAATCATATTCCGTTTATCGACAAGACCGGTCGCCTTCGAATAGCAACAAAAGCATTGGAGGTGGTGTTTTGCTGGCTGTTCGCTCGAGTTTTAAATCCCGTACGCTCGACCCTCCTGATGGCTCGGCGGTTGAGCAAATATGGATCGCAATTGCCACTATCGATGCAACACTCTACCTATGCGTTGTGTATATTCCCCCTGATCGAGTAAACGATGAATCTTTGATCGAAAAGCATATCGATTCGCTTAACTGGGTGGTTTCGCAGTTAGGACCAAGAGACAACGTTATCATCCTAGGCGATTTCAACTTGAGCTCGATCTCTTGGCAGCGTAGTCCACATGGTCCGATTACGATTACGATTACGAATCACGATCCTTGATTATCCTTGCATCACGGAAGCTGCTTGATGCGTATAGCACCGCTGGACTCAGACAAATGAGTGGAATTGCAAATGAAAACAATCGTACGCTTGATCTATGCTTCGTCAGTGAGGAGCTTTGTGAGCACAGCACAGTTATGCAAGCCCCATCACCGCTCGTTAAAATCTGCAGGCATCATCCTCCTGTACTAATGGAATTCAATATAAGTCCACAGCAACGCTTCCAAAATACCTCTGAAAGCATCGCCTATGATTTCAGAAAGGCTGACTTCAACAGCATGAACGAGTTCCTCGCACATGTCAATTGGGACGAGGTGCTTCAAGCCAGCCTGGTCAAATGCTGACCTCAAGCTTCTTAAGACTGTGAAGCGGGTAGCTCTCAGACGACATAGCAAGTATCGCACGGACTCCACGAGAACGAGATATATGGCGGCGAGCACTGAATTCAACCAACTTAATAATCGTTTGTACAACGCATATCAGGACCATCTGCAAAGGCGCTTCAAGACAAATCCCAGAAGTTTTTGGCGTTACGTCAATGACCAACGAATGGAATCCGGACTGCCCTCTACGATGACCAACGGATTGTTCGAAGCTGATTCCACCACTGACATCGCCGACCTGTTCCGTTCTCAATTCAGCAATGTTTTCACTAATGAACACATCGACCCGCAGGATGTAGCCGTCGCCACCAGAAATGTTCCTCGACTTTCGGCCTCTGGGCTACAGTTCGTGATCACGAACGATATGGTTATATCAGCCGGAAAGGATTTAAAATCCTCCACGGGATGTGGTCCGGATGGAATTCCATCGCTTGTCCTTGGT